GAGTCTCATGAACTTTCCTGCCCAGTCTGGCTTTTAACTGCGATCCTCTGATCTCAGCCTCCTGAGTAGCTAGGATTACAGGCATGAGCACCAGTGCCTGGCTTCAGTCATGGTTCTAAAAGCTCCCCTCCCCCCCATGATCACAACATGAAGCCACAGTCGGGCAAGCTCAAATGGGAAGAAGATGATGTAGAAAGCTGGCAATTCCTCAGCCCTGTAACTAGTGAGATTACACACTTAACTCTGTATCTCATCTTTCCATTGTATTAATGGGCAAAGCTCTTCTCTACATTAAGTTGCTCAGTGATTAGCATGAGAGAAAAAGTGTGAAAAGGAAAGATTACATTTTCAGTTTTGTCGAGCATGATGGAGACTGCCAATGAAGACCTGCTGAGACCAATTGGTGCTATGGAAAGTCCAGCAAGGGTGGAGGTGAAGGGTGATCTCAGGCCAACTTCCAGAGATGTGTGTCCCCAAAACAACATGCAAGGTCTGAGGTTTGAACCCCAGCACCACAAAAACTAATAATATCAACAAAACTCAGAGCGAAAGGCATGACTGATAATCTTCAAAACAAACAGCAGACAAAGAAGAACCACATATTCAAGAAATGAGAGAACGATTTTATACTACCACAGATTATAAAACAAACAAGGACAAGCTTTGTAGTGATAAAAGAATTTCAACTTCCAGGGATTGGGAATGTGGCTTAGTGGTAAAGTGTTTGCCTAACATGCATGAAGCCCTGGGTTCAATTCCTCAGTACTGCATAAACAGAAAAGGCCAGAAATGGCGCTGTGGCTCAAGTGGTAGAGTGTTGCCTTGAGCAAAAGAAGCTCAAGGACAGTGTCCAGGCCCTGAGTTCAAGCCCCAGGACTAGCAAAAAAGGAAAAAAGAAAAAAAAAGAATTTCAGCTTCTAGAAACTCGGCTAAAATTTCACTGGCCCTCCTTCCTTCTATATAGTCCCTCCAATTAACATTCATTGAGCATCTGGACCTAAACAATTGTCCCTAATTATTGTGTTGGTAACATGAAGACATGGAAAGCTTCTTGAGTAGGTTGGAGACAAATGAGTAAAAAACAAAAACAAATAGAATAAAATATGAAATTATATAAATACTGTGGGTTTTTTCATCTCAGATGGCAGAGAAAGCATGAGTCCATGATGTCCGACAATGGGACTACTCAGGAGCAATGATTGTGACACTTTGGGTTCATACTTTGGGGACAAGGAAGAGGTGGCCTGGTATACATACTCAAATATTAGATATAAGAAAGGCAATCCCTCAGGGCTGGGAATGTGGCTTAGTGGTAGAATGCTTGCCTAGCGTACATGAAGCCCTGGATTCAATTCCCCAGTACCACATAGACAGAAAAAGCCAGAAGTGCTGCTGTGGCTCAAGTGGTAGAGCTAGCCTTGAGCAAAAGAAGCTTAGGGACAGTGCCCAGCCTCAGAACTCAAGCCGCAGAACTGGTACACACACACACACACACACACACACTCACACACACACGTGCACACACACACACACATGCACACAGGGAATTCCAAAATAATTAAGGAAATAATACGAAGTATCCTTGAATAGAAAACTCAAAAAGAAATCACAGTCACAAAATACTATATTTTACATTTTAGCCCAGCACAGTGGAGATTCCCAGGTTTCTGTGTACACTGGGTGAAAACTTATTTCACTTGTGTTAAGCATGTAGTAAGGATTCAACTAATGTTAGTTATGATAATAATCTAAAGGATATAATGATCCATCACAAAGAACCCAAGGATCTCACATTTGCTTTTGTAATGCATTCCTTTATCATATTAAGCCTATAAGAATATACTCTTGCCAGGCACCAGTTGCTCACACCCTTAATTCTAGCTACTCAGGAGGCTGAGATCTGAGGGCTGTGATTTGAAGCCAGCTTGGGCAGAAAATCCCCCTGAGACTCTTATCTCCAGTTAATCACTCAAAAACTGGAAGTGGCTCAGGGACAGCACCCAGGCTCTGAGTTCAAGCCTCATGACCATTTTTTCATTCATTTATTCATTTTTTGTATGTGTATATGTATTTGTGTATTGGTATTGGAGCTTTAATTCACCCCTATTCAGGCTAGGTACTATCTCTGAGCTTTTTCTTTCAAGGCTAGTAGTACTTTACCACTTGACTCACATCTCCATTTCCTGCATATTAGTGGTTAATTGAAAAAAAGAGTCTCACAGACATTCCTGCCCAAACTGGCTTCAAACCACAATCCCCAGATCTCAGCCTCTTGAGTAGGTAGGACATAGGCATAAGCCATTGGAACCTGGCTCTATTTATTCATTTTTCCCAGCTCTAGCTACTCTATCTATCTATGTATCTATCTATCTATCACCTTTTTTTGGGGGGGGGTCGGGTCATGGGCCTGAATTCTGGGCCTGGGAGCTGTCCCTCAGCTCTTCAGCTCAAGGCTAGAGCTCTACCACTTGAGCCACAGCACCACTTCCGGCTTTTTTCTTTTTTGCTTATGTGGCACTGAGGAATCGAACCCAGGGCCTCAAGCATGCAAGGCAAACTCTCTACCACTGAGCCATCTTCCCAGCCCCTCACCTATTTTTAAATGTTTTTATTGTTATTATAAAGATGATGTACAGAAGGATTACAGTTACATAAGTTAGGTAAAGAGCACATTTATTTTGGACAATGTCACCCCTTCCCTCACTCCTTCCTAGTTTTTCCCTCCCATCTCCACCCACAAGTTGCATAGTTCATTTTCAACATAGCATCATAGTGTCTAGTGGGTACCATTCCTGCATTTGTTCACCCTTTCTCCCTCCATTTCTGTGCCCTTCCTTGCCCTCTCAAAGACATATAAATGAACAGAAGAGAAAACGAAACAGTAAAAAAAGAAGAAAGCCTCTTGTTCTCCCTTCCTGGAGTTCATTTTGATAAATGTTGTTTTGTGTGATCAGATGCACATAGGCATTGTGTCTTTCTGTTGCTCTCCTAAGAGTCTCCTCCTTTCATCTCACTGTGTGAGAATGCCTAGAGACCCATATATACATATCCTTATATACCTGTTTGTGTGTTATGTATGTATGTGTTTGTGTATATATGTGTATGTGTATATGTTTGTTTATGTGTGTTTGAGGCAAGAGAAAAGGACCGGGAGGAACATTTCCAATGAAAATCATTTAATAGAAGAAAATAACTATCTAGATTTTTCTATCTATGGCAAGTGCCATTAAGTTGAAAGGAAAAATTAGTCATTGATAAGAAGAAAGCTCCAGGCAAGATTAGTGAAGAATATCTAGCTCAAACAGTTTGTCTTGAAACTCTGAACAATTGTAATTAATAGATAACTAGATAAAGGATAGACTGATTTAATGTATGTCACATTGACATTGCCAATGCCTGGAGCAGAAGAAAAATTTGGCTGAAGGCATAAGGGTCATAATGAAACACAAGCTCAGGAGACAGTGATGTAATCCTAATACAGATCTAAGCTGAGTGGATAGAAGTGTAGTGTGCAAATCAAAAGAGGTAATGACTCCACTTACATCCTTGCTGTCAAAGATGGAGATCTGAAATATCATTAGGCATGTAAGTGAGTAATAAGAGTGCTTGCCTCAGATGTATATGGCCCTGGGATTATCCTCAGAAAAGAAAAAAGAAAAGGAAATCTGTGATGTTATTTTCAGTCCCAAAATATGTTTTTCTTACTTGAAGAGCTAAATGAGAAAATTGTTGAATGATAATGCCTGTTTTTTGTTTTTGTCTTTTTTTTTTGTCCATTGTGGGGCTTGAACTCTGGGCCTTGGCGCTGTCCCTGAGCTCTTCAGCTCAAGGCTAGCACTCTACTGCCTGAGCCACAACACCACTTCCGGTTTTCTTGTGGTTAATTGGAGATAAGACTCTCATGGAGGGGCTGGGAAGGTGGCTCAGTGGTAGAGCACTTGCCTTGCATGCCTGTGGCCCTGGGTTCGATTCCTCAGCCACATAAGCAAAAAGAAAAAAGCTGGAAGTGGTGCTGTAGCTCAAGTGGTAGAGTGGTAGCCTTGAGCTGAAGAGCTGAGGGACAGCGCCCAGGCCCAAAGTTCAGGCCTCATGACTGGACCCCCCCCCCAAAAAAAAGACTCCATGGATTCTCCTGCCTGGGCTGGCTTTGAACTATAATCCTCCCATTTCAGCCTCCTGAGTAGCTAGGATTACAGGTGTGAGGCACCATGCCTATATTATATAAAATATAAATTATCTGAAAACTTTATCACTATTTGATAAAGCAAAAAAACAAAAACCTTGTTATATTTAAACATCTAGTTGACTTTAATTGACAGTTCTTGAATTGGGTATAGCATGTCACTTAAAGCATAAGTAAGTGTTCCTCTGGGTGTGACACTGTATTCAGTCTTAGCACTAGTTACATGGTAGCTGGAAGAGGAACAAGAAAACAAAATGCAGTCCAGAGTTAAGTCAACCTCAGTTACTTCTGGTTACTTTTTTTTGAAAGATTAAAACAGAGAGGATTTTCTCATCTCCCTACAGGTTCAGCTTCACTAGGCCCCTTCTGATGGGTTGCTATGAATTTCCTATATTGGGAGAAATGGGTCTGCTTAGGCATTTTCCTGCTTCCTTAAGGTGTCTACTTGACTTTCTGGCATTTAGCATGATTGACTCCATTTTGGTTTGGTCTATTTAGCCAAAAAGCGCTCAATCTCAAACAGTGGTTTCCCATAAATGTTATCTAATAACATAAATGATATATAAATAAATGTCATTATAATGAAAACAATTTCCAAATCACAGTCTACTTATTTCAACCAACATTGAATATTACAAAGTTTCAATAAAAAATAAGAAATTTGTAAAGTCTCTGTACACTATATCATGATCATGACTTAAACGATATAGTTTATGTGATTGCCATATGTCTGACTTAATAAAAAGTGAATTGTTTTTTATCTCTGAGTTGTTAAGGAATGTATTTATAGCTTCTTTGCTAAATATTTTAATTTCAGTGTTTGAAGATCCAAATTTTATTGGAAAGTATTACAGATGGAGGAAAATGGATCTGCAGTGTTATAAAGAATGGAAGTTAAAGTAAGAAACCCCAGATTCTTGATTCCATTATTTTGAAATGCTTGTTGTTCCTCTTTCTAGTAGCTAACTGAACCACAGGAAGTAATTCTTGGTTATAATAATGTATACTTTTTACTTAAAGTTTTTTTTTTGGTGTTAACTGTAGTTTGAACTCAAGGCCTCAATCTTGCTTAGGAAGGTGCTCTATCAATTGATCGAGGCCCTTGGTTCTTTTTAATACCTTATTGTTCAGGTGGGGTCATGAGATTTGCCCACAGATGGCCACAAACCTAAATCCTCCTACTTATGCATCTAACTGGAATTTGGGGTTATGGTTGCATACTCCCGTGCCCTGCTTATTTGTTGAGATGCAGGTATCAGTAGATTTTTTTTTTTTTGTCCATTCCTGGCCCTGAACGATGAACTTTCCCATTGCCACCTCTTAAGTAGTTGACATTAAAGATATGAGCTATGGTGTCTAACCCACCTAACCCACTTAGGTTTTTTCCTAATAGTGAGGTTTGAACTCAAGGCCTTGAGCTTCATTTGCTGCTCAGCTGGTGCTTTGTGGAAAAGTCACTCTTAAAATAGATTTGCCTACCCTTTAACATACAACTTCAGATTTGGTGCTTCAGTTGGTTGCTTTTATTTTTACTTCTGCAACTTTTTATTTATTTATTTAACTTATTGTGTACGTGTGTGTATGTGTGTATGTGTTGATATGTTGATACAGGGGTCTGAACTCCCGGCCTCATACTTTTACTTGGGTTTTTCACTCAATGGCTAGCACTCCATTACTTGAACCACAGCTCCACTTCCATCTTTTTGCTGTTAATTGGACATAAGGGTCTCATAGACTCTTCTTCTGGCTTTGAACTGCAATCCTCATATCTCAACATTCTGAGTTGCTAAGATTTCACGTATAAACCACTGGTGCCCAGCTACAATCTTTTTTTGTTTTGTTTTTGTTTTTGTTATTTTTTTGCCAGCCCTGCTAGGCTTGAAATCATGGCCTGGGTGCTGTCCCTGTGCCTCTTTGTGTTCAAGGCCAGCACTCTACACTTGAGCCTTAAGGCTTTTTCTGAGTAGTTTATTGGAGATAAAGAGTCTCACGAACGTTCCTGCCCAAACTGTTATCCTCAGATCTCAACCTCCTGAGTAGCTAGGATTATGGGCACAAGACACCAAATGCCTGGCTTGTTTTATTTTTTTTTTAAAGACAAAGTAGAAAACAGCTTTTTCATGAGATAATTTTATGCTTTCAGAATAAATTATAGGCAGACAAAAAGTTTTTTATTAAGCAAGATTTAAAGGAATACGAGCACTTGGTTTTCTCTTTGGAAGGCCAGGTTTCAAGTTTCTTTTAGAGTTTAAGAAGCCTACTTAGAATGTAAGGTTAATTTTTCCTTGACGTGACTTCCTTTTTTATTCCCTTTAACAGAACTGCTTTGTTTTGTTTGTTTGATCATTGATGCATTATGTAATGCCAGCGTCCCGCAGAACCCAAAGATTTAGAAAAAGCAGAGCCATGTCATTTTCAACTTATCTACCACTTCTACATCTGACTAAAATAATTACGAGTGGTTTGAGTGCAAGAGCATGTTTCCGAAGACATTATTTTGAAGTTGTAGGTCAAATTATCATGTGCGCAGCAATCCTGCCAGAACAAACCGCTCACACCTTATGCCATCTGGTGGCTGACAAGAATATATTTGGGTCAAATGATACTTGCTTCTTGTGAATTGTAGAGTTGACTTAGTCAAAAACATATTTTAAATAGGGTTTAGAGAATGTGTGCATTTATTTGCATTTTCCTGTGGCATAATTATTTGAGTGTGCAAATAGATGGAAGTATAATTTTAAAATTCATAGAAGAATAAAATCTAAAATGTTTTCTGATAATTATCAAAATTGCTGTGTTTGTCAACAAAGGTGCTTGATAAAGTAGTAAGTTTGGGAACTTGAGTAGAATATACTTAAGAATCTTAATAAACAAGTAATTGTCTGCATGTGTATGCTATATAATGCCACTATCTTTCCTTCTTTCCTTCCTTCGTTTTCTTGCCTACCTGCCTGCCTACCTGGTGCTCAGGCCTCAGGGTGTAGCACATGCTATGCAAGCCTTGAACTATATCTCCAACCCTTGGCTTTTTGTGGTCCTTTCTATAGAGTTCAGGTGGCCTTAAATGTACTGTGTAATTCTGGCTGGTCTCAAACTCTTGATGCTCCTGCCACTCTCAAATGCAGGGATTATAGGAATGTCCCTCCATACCTAACACATTTGTTATTAATCCATGTTTGAAGGTGCTGTGCTTACAGCATCTGTTCAACAAAATCAGAAAATGCACATTAAGAACACTATTTGTGGGGCTGGGAAGGTGGCTCAGTGGTAGAGCGCTTGCCTTGCATGCATGAGGCCCTGGGTTCGATTCCTCAGCACCACATAAGCAAAAAAGAAAAAAGCCGGAAGTGGCTCTGTGGCTCGAGTGGTAGAGTGCTAGCCTTGAGCTGAAGAGCTGAGGAAAACAACCAGGCCCAGAGTTCAGGCCCCATGACCGGACCCAAAAACAAAAACAAAAAAAAAGAACACTATTTGTGTTTTTAAAAACACTATTTGTCCTCCACCACTGACCCGTGGTTCTCCTACTGTCTTTCCAGTTCTTTGCTCTCATCAGCCACTTCTTAAACGATGTTGATTTTTCCCTCTAATATGTAGAGACTTAAGATCTCTTCCCCACTTGTGCCTTTTTTATTATATATTTTTATTGTAAAGATACTGTACAGAGGGGTTACAGTTACATGAGTAAGTTAATGAGTCTGTTTCCTATCAAGCATTGTTACCCCTTCCTTTGTTTTTGCCTTACCATCCCTTCCCTCCCCATCTCCCAACTCCTCCCTCCCTCCCCCAAAAGTTGTAAAGTTCGTTTTTCAACATAGTGTCTTGCACATCTCATTGTTACAACTGGTCAACCTATAAACTTATTCCAGCATTTTATCTGCTATGTCTTTGTTAACTGGGCCTTGGCTGGTAGAACAGAGTTGGGATTTGGTCTGAGTTAAGAGATGGACTCTAGAAGACTTACAGTCAGGAGCCTGAAGCCAGACCACCTAGATCTGAATCCTAGTCTGGTCAGTGATGATTCTGTGAGAGGGTTATTTGAAAAGTGACACTTAATGAGAAAGAAAATCAGGGAGGGGGCCAAGGTGGCCATGGAATAGTAGGGAAACACCGCAGCTCTCTCCAACCAAGTAGAGAGTTCGGATTTCAATACTCTTTTTCTTCAAAAGACTGACAACAACAAAAAGGCAATTACTCAGAAAGATACAGGAAGTGAGGAAAAAGGAAAAACTCCAGAACCCACACAAAGACAGTAAAGTAGGAAGACCCTTCCCCATCCCTTGCTTGCTGCCTGAGGCCGGCTCAGGACCCAGCAAGGACCACAGAGCCTCCAAGCTACCCAAGACTCCCAAGAGCCAGTGCCCACCCAGAGAATACAAACAGAAAACTCGGAATGCAGAACCCACCCGAAGACAACCCCCCCCCGCCCCCGCAGGGCGCAGTGCCTGGGTCCGGCCTGCGCAAACAGCCCAGCCCAGCCCTGAGCAGCAGCCAGCAGCAGCAGCGGTGGTGATGAACCACCCCAGACACGCAGCACACAGCCTCTCCATATCAGCCTGCGTGGAAACAACCCAGCCCAGCCCAGAGGCCACCGCAGTGGCAGCAGCAAACAAGCCCAGGCTCCCAGTGGGACACAGCACCTTTCTGCAGCAGCCCTCGTAAGTATCGGGCCCAGCCTGGGGCGACCCCAGACTCGCCACGGGGCACCGCGCCTCCCTGCACCGGCCTGCATAAGCGCCCAACCCAGCCTGGGGTGGTACAACGGCAGCTGTAGTGGGGCAGCAGCGGCAGCAGCAGCAAATGACTCTAGGCCCCTGGCGTCTTCCCCCCCCCCCCCCCCCCCAGTCCGTGGAAGCAACCCAACCCAGCTCGGGATAGCGGTGAATGCAGTGGTGCCAGCGAATGACCCCAGACGTGCGGCGCTGTGTGGTGCCTCTCTACACAGGACCATGTAAGCAACCCAGCCTGGAACGGCAGTGGTGGCTTAGGTGGCGGCAGCGGAAACAAAGGACCAGACTCACAGAGCGACCCTGTGCCTCCCTGCGCTGGCCCGCGGAAGCAGTCTAGCCCAGAGCAGGGTGGCAGCGGTGGCAGCGGAGAGGAACCCCAGGCCCGTGACACCAAATGGGATAGCATAAGCAGTAGTAAAGACCGTGAAACAGACCCAGCCTGCACCACCATCCAGTATGGCCCATAGTCAACGAACTAGGAACATGGAGTTGAACAGCAACCTACAGCACACAAAACCAGCCATCTGCCACAGCACTTCTGGACAGCTCCCAACCAGTACCAGGATAAGCAGGAACCCTAGCCCTCTTAACTGCCTGCCCCTGACTGGTCAGGATCTGAGTGCGCACCCCAGCAGAGGGCAGAGTGTGTCTGCCCACAACAAAGTTAACAGGAGTAAGCCCTACTTGAGTCAGACCAGCAGCTGGAAAGCAGTCCCCTCCCACAACAGAACCTTGGACCAGGTAAAATACTCTCAACCAGCCCAGAGCTGAGAGCAAGCTACATCAATTGATTCAGGAACAAATCCAGAACCAGGCAAAGGTAGCCACCTAGTGATCAAAACAATCAGGGTCTGGAATTGGTCTCCAACAATCCCTGAATCCACATGCGAAAATCACAGCAAATAATTGCAAAATTCATCAACAGCCAAGACAGTAAACCAGACTCAAAGGCCAGCAACCACACGGGAGAACGCCAGTGGAAACGAAAAAGAAATGGAAGACAAATGCTACATCCAAGAGATGATAGAGGCAATGACTCAAGAATTAAAACGAGAAATAAATCAGAAATTTAAAGAACAAAGATCAAAAGAGATCTAGCCTTCAAACAAGAAATACACACAAAAATACAGTACACACCTTGCTAAAAGATGAGATAAGTTCTCTAAGGAACG